ATGGCGAGGCTGGCTTCTGTGGGCGCTCGGCCAATGGCGAGGCTGGCCTCTGTGGGCGCTCGGCCAATGGGAGGGCTGGCTAGTAGAGCTCCGCCAATGGGGAGGGCTCCACTCTCGGAGTGTTCGGCCAATTGGATTGCAAACTTCTTACATTATGAGGATGTATCAGACTTCCAATTCCCCAGATACTGACTGTATCCCTCCTGATGTTAATCCAGCTCCCTCCATTGTCACTCAGTAACCCCTCTCCCCCCCAGCCCCCTGTGTTACTGACTGTATCTGTACTGATGTTAATCCCTCTCCCTCACACTGTGTCACTCAGTAACCCCTCTTCCCCCACCCCAGCACCCTGTGTTACTGACTGTATCCCTCCTGATGTTAATCCAGCTCCCTCACACTGTCTCTCAGTAACCCCTCTCCCCCCGAGCACCCTGTCTTCCTGACTGTGTCTCTCCTCATATTCAACCAGCTTCCTCACGCTATCACTCAGTAACCCCTCTTTCCCTAGCAGCCCGTGTTACTGACTGTAACTCCACTGTTGTTAGTCCATCTCCCTCATACTGTTACTCAGTATCCTCTCTTCCACTGCTTCCCCCCCCTCCCCAAACCCTTTCCCCCAGCATCCTGTGTTACTGACTGTATCTCATAGCTATGAGATACAATGGAAGGGATAACACCTTCCTTTTTGTTTGTTTCTACATGTGTAGAATTGTCCAGAATGTCGCTCAAATTTCTGAATGTTTTGCTTTTAATTTTCTTGCAGGTGGAACAGACCTCACTGGAAGCACGAATCTCATTACTCACTACAATCTGGAGCATGCCTACAATAAATTCTGTGGGAAGAAAGTGAAGGATAAGCTGAGCAATTTCCTGCCAGACCTGCCAGGTATTATATGGAGAGACCGAGATTTCTGGGAGGGAATTCCAGAGCTTAGGGGCATGGCTATCACTGGTGGAGTGGTGAAAATCAGGAGAGGATCAAGAAGCTGGAATAGTAAGAGTGCAGAGATCTTGGAGGAAGGTGTAGGAATTAGGTTGGGGTCCTGAGAGGATGGAGGAGAGTACCAGGGGGCTGGAGGAGGGTGCAGGGGATTTGAATCCATTTGTCAATGTTTTGTGCATTCTCTTAATCTCTCAGAATATGTTTTCAGTACTGTTCTTCCAGCTAGACTGCTCAGTGCCACCTACTTTGGTGGCATTAACAAACTTAAACATGGTGCTTCCTATGCCCTGATCAAAATCATAAATAAATATGGAGTATATTTGATTTGGGGAAATGGCTCCGGAAGAATGGCCAACTACCCAGCCAATCAGGGCTAAATTTGTGACTGTGTAATATTAGAATCCAACAGTTGTGAACGGAGCTAATAGCACTGCACTCTGCACCCTCACTCTTCTCTCTGTCTCTCGTGTAGGAATGATCGATATGCCTGGTTCACAAGATAACAGCAGTCTACGCTCCCTCATTGACAAACAACCAATCTGTGGCAACTCCTTTAACCTTCTGACTGGCACCTTGCTCACGGGCTTCCGACTGCACACGGGCCCGGTAAGCAATGCAAGCACAGTGAGATCGTACAGCAGTGTCCCCCTGTGATTACTGTCACTCCGAGTTCACAGTCACTGTGTATCTGTCTATGTGCGTGTGTCTCATGCTGTTCACCATCACAACCCCAAGACTTGTCTCTGTCTCTTTCTCTCTCTCTTTCTCTCTCAGTTCATTATCGCTCCTTGATGTGTCTTCCTCCCACTTTGTTCATTGAGACTGTCTCGGTGTGTGTGCATGTTTGTCTCGCTCGCGCTCTCTCGCTCGCTGTCTCTCTGTCGTTCTCTGTCTGTTCGTTGTCAGTTCCTCAAGGTATGTCTGCCTCTTTTTTTTTCCCGCTCTTTTGGTTCACTGTCACTCTCGGGGTATGTCTCGCGCTCTCTCTCTCTCAGTTCCCTGTCACACTTGGGGTGTGTTTTGTGCTCTGTCTGTTCACTGTCACTCTGGGTGTGTGTGTGTCTCTCTCTCTCTCTCTCTCTCCCCCCCATTCAATGTTACTCCCTCAGGGTGTGTATGTCCATTCCCCTTTCTCTTCACTGTTACTCTTGGGGTCTGTCTGTTGTTTGTCAGCCTGTCTCTGTTTTGCTGTCACAAACGAAAACCGAACGAACTGATCAGGAACAAAAACAGAAGTTGCTGGAAAAGCTCAGCAGGTCTGGCAGCATCTGTGAAGAAAAATCAGAGTTAATGTTTCGGATCCAGTGACCCTTCCCCAGAACACATGCTTGTCTGTTTCGCTGTCGCTCTGTTTGTTAACTGGCACTTTCAGGGTGTGTCTCCTGCTCTCTATCTCTCTTGTTCACTGTCATTCTCGGGGTGTCTCTCTCTCCCTCTCTGTTCAATGTTACTCCCTCAGAGGCAGGTTTGGGGGGAGCTGGTGTGTGTGTGTGTGTGTGTCCATCTTTCTTTAGCTTTACCGTTACTCTCAGTGTCTCTCTTGTCTATCAGTCTGTCTTTGTCTCTGTCTCTCTTGCTCTTTCTCTCTCTGTTTGTTCACTGATCTCTTTCACGTGCACGCTTTTTCTCTGTCTCTCTCTCTCTCTCTCTTCACTGTTACTCTCAAGGTGTGTCTTGTCTGTCTGTGTCTCCCCATCCCTCCCTCTCTCTGCTCATTATCAGCCCCTCGTTCTCTGTCCATGTTACCACTGTACTTAGTGATTTCCACCCCCTTTCCCCCAAACCGGTGCTGCTCTTTCAAACAACGCTGTTTTCCCCCCCTCTGTCTTCCAGGCAGCCCTCCACTGTGCCTCTTCCATTTCCCACTCCACAGCTCCTAACCACCCCCCACATCCCCCAAACATAATAAAGATAGGATCCCTTTGTCCTCACTTTCCATCCCACCAGACTCCACATCCAATGTATCATCCTCAAACACTTCTGCCAATTCCAATTAGACCCCACCACCCAGAACATCTTCCACTCCCCACCCCTCTCTGCCTTCTGCAAGGACCATTCCCTTCACGACTCCTAAGTTTGCGCCACACTCCCCACCAAACCACCTTCCCCTGTAACCGTAAAATATGCTGTACCTGCCCATACACAACCTCCCTTACCTCCATTCAAATCCCGAAACAGCCCTTCCATGTGAGACAGAGCTTCACCTGCATTTCCTCCAACCTTGTCTATTGCTTTTGGTCTTCTCTACATCAGTGAGAGCAAACGTAGACTAGGTGACCGTTTCGCCGAGCATCTTTGCCTGGCCTGTAACAGCCAGCCTAACCTCCCACTTACCGTCCATTTCAACTCCCCCCACCCCCGACGTGTCCATCCTCAGCCTCCTCCAGTGTCACAGCAACTCAGAACATAAATTTGAAGAACAACACCTTATCTTCCGCCTGGGCACCCCACAGCCCGGAGGACTCAACACTGAGTTCTCCAATTTCAAATACCCTTCCCAGCCATCCCCCCAGTTTCCCTTCCAGCCCCACCTCCTCCCTTCCATTCCACCTTCTGACCCTCCCTTCCAGACCCCAACTGGATTCACCACTCCCATCGACCAACCAGGTCATACCACCAGTGTCCATCTATCCCCACCATTTTGCCTCCACCCCTCCCGCCCCCTTATCTGCAGCTCCCCCACATCCAGACCTGAAGAAGGGTAATACCCAAATCATTGATTGCTCCTTTCCTCCAGATGCATCCTGGCCTGCTGTGTTTTTCCAGCCTCCTGTTTGTCTACCTGAGATTCCAGCATCTACAGTTTTTTTTTGTCTCTAAACAGGATCTCTTTCCTTTCTACTAAACAAAGAACTACAGATGCCAGAAATGTGAAACAAAAACAGAAATTGTTGGAGAAACTCAGCAGGTCTGGCAGCATCTGTGGTGAGGAAGCAGAGTTAACATTTGGAGTCCAGTCACCCTTCTTCAGAACTGCGCTTTCTATCCACAGTTGCTGCCAGACCTGCCGATTTTCCTGTGGAATTTCTATTTCTGTCTCTTTCCTCTCTGACCGCCTCTCCTGCACCCTGCAGCTACCTGAACAATATCGACTGATGCATATCCAGCCTCCAAAGAAGAAAAGCAAACACAAACACAAGCACAGTCGGACTCAGGACCCTGTTCCACCAGGTAGGTAGCTGGGAAATGGCTGGTGGGATACAGGAAGAGTCATGCCATTGGGGTCAGGTGGGAAGTGGATTATGGGATACAGGAGGAGCCATCCCTGCCCACTGGGTGGGTACAGTAATTGACATTAAATCATAGAATGATTATAGCACAGAAAGAGGTTATTCATCCCACTGTCTCTGTGCCAACCCATTGTGAGTGCTTCAGTATCTGAGGAGTCTCAAATGGTGCTGAACATTGTGCAATCATCGGCGAACATCCCCACTTCTGACCTTATGATGGAGGGAAGGTCATTGATGAAGCAGCTGAAACTCCTGCAGTGATGTCCTGGAGCTGAGATGATTGACCACCAACAACCACGACCATCTTCCTCTGTGTCAGCTATAGAGTCCAACCATTGGAGCGTTTGCCCCCTGATTCCCATTGATTCCAGTTTTGCTAGGCCTCTGTGATGCCCCACTCAGTCGAACGCAGCCTATTGTTAAGGGTTGTCACTCTCACCTCACCTCTGGAGTTCAGCTGTTTTGTCCATGTTTGAGCTAAGGCTGTAATGAGGTCAGGAGCTGAGTGGTCTTGGTGGAACCCAAACTGGGCGTCACTGAGCAGGTTATTGCTGAGCAGGTGCTGCTTGATAGCGCTGTTGATGACACCTTCCATCACTTCACTGATGATCGAGAGGAGACTGATGGGGCAGTAATTGGCCGGGTTGGATTTGTCCTGCTTTTTGTGTACAGGACATACCTGAGCAATTTTCCACGTTGTCAGGTAGATACCAGTGTTGTAACTACTAGAGCAGCTTGGCTAGGGGAGCAGCAAATTCTGGGGCACAGATATTCAGTACTATTGCTGGAGTGTTGTAGGGACCCTGTAACCTTCATTGTATCCAGTGTCTCCAACCATTTCTTTATATCATGTGGAGTGAATCGAATTGACTGTAGACTGACATCTGTGATTCTGGGAACAACTGGAGGAGGCCGAGATGAATGAAAATGAGTGATCCGTTATTTTTTAAACCGTCCCCTAGTTTTAATGTCTCCCACAGGGAGAGACATCCCGCGAGCATCCATCAGGATGTCAGGATCCTTTAGTGTTTCAATATTACCTCTCATTCTTCCGAACTGCAATGGATCCAGCCTTGCCTCTTAAGACAAATTCCATCATGACCAGAATTAGTTGAGCGAAACCTTCTCTGAACTGCTTCGTTCTTTAAGCAACGTCACAGGCGTCTGGTGGTAATACGGTGGCATTTGCTGGAACCTGCAAGATGTGTGCTAACTCAGGAACACGCATGCACGTGGTTTTCCCCTCGCTTTCTCCCTTTTCCCCTGCTTCCAGTGTCCCCTTGCCCCTTCTGGTTCTCTCCTGGTTACCAAAGCCGTCCTAATTTCCTGGGTTCCCATCTATTTCCCTTCCCCGGGCTATAACTCTTTGTTCTGTGCAAATGCAGGGCAAACATGGCCTAAATGTTGAGATAACAAGGTGTAGAGCTGGA